GCAATAGCTGCTGAGAGTCAACTCAGGAATTTGCTCCCTAAGGAATCCCCAGGTTTGGAACAGTGTGTCTCATTGCAAGGTGCTTGAGTTCTTGGTTAATAACTTGTGCTGAATGGGTTCTGGTGAGTGAATATTGCCCACAAAATGGGTACAGAGTAAACAGATGCTAAAAAGGCTAATGGAGTAAATGGCTGCAATTGTTCTCCTGGTCAGCTCTTACCCTGTGTGTGCTCCTCATATCTACCCAGCTGCTATTTCCTGCACGAGGAAAGAAATTTGAAATGGATGTGCATTAGTCCACTTTGGCCTTCCACTCTACGGCTCTAGGCCTCCTTTCCAACAAAGATCACAAAGGAATTCAGACTCATGTGTTTTTAAAAACAGTAATTTGATTTCATGCTATTATGTAAATTAGAATCACCAAGTACATTAGTCACATGGGGAAAGAGAGTGACCCATTCCATGGTCATTGTAAGAACTAGTGAACATGGAGGCTGTGTCTAGACTGGCAAGTTTTTCCGGAAAATCATCTGCTTTTCTGGAAAAACTTGCCAGCTGTCTACACTGGCCGCTTGAATTTCCGGAAAAGCACTGACGATCTCATGTAAAATCATCAATGCTTTTCCGGAAAAACTATGCTGCTCCCGTTTGGGCAAAAGTCTTTTTCCCAAAGACTTTTGCGCAAAAGGGCCAGTGTAGACAGCATAGTGCTGTTTTCCACAAAAAAGCCCCGATCATGAAAAAGGCGATCAGGGCTTTTTTACGGAAAAGCGTCCATGGCCAATCTAGACGTGCTTTTCCGAAAATGCTTTTAACAGAAAACTTTTCCGTTAAAAGCATTTTCGGAAATTCATGCCAGTGTAGATGTAGCCTGAAGGTCAGGCAGCAGGAAAAGCAGACTTTATATCTCCATTTTGCAATTATTAGTTAACTGGTGGATGCTTGAAGCACTTGGATGTCTTGACACATGACGTTTACTTTTGGGCATATTTCTTGATTGATTTTATGTGAATGAAAAAAAATCACACTTCACCTGATTATCATGAGCACTGGGAACCTCTCTCAAAGAAGTGTCTTATGAGAATTTATTGTGCTGCTGCTATCACCTGCAAGAATTTTGTTTTAGTGATATAGTTCACCTGTCAGACTGCTTTTAGCTCCCAAAGGGTATGTCAGTACACTTTGTCAGGCACAGATTTGTGGAACTTGCACAGGGGGTGGAAGTGGAAGGAGTATTGAAAAGCAGAAATACAGGGAAGGGTAACTCCTCCCACACAAAGAGGAATGAGATATTTTAATTCTAATGCTGACAAGATGAGACAGCATTATCATAAGCTCACTAGGTTGTATGGTGCTGAACTTGGAAGACACCAAGTTCACCAATGTGCATTTGTTAACACCTGTTCCAGTCATAAACCGCCTCAGGATCATGTTGCAAGTACGAATTCAAGTGCACCAACTGACATCGTGTAGGAAACTTCAGATTGTTTACTTACCTGCTAGTGATGCAATATTTGTTTTGTATATTTATTGATCATGAAAGTGAGAATGATTAACAAAAACCTAATACCACATCCTATCATAGGCATGTCCAAAGTCCGGCCCGGGGGCCAATTGCGGCCCGTGTTCTGGTTTAATACGGCCCCACAGGTAATTTGGCAATATCTATCTTTTATGGCCCCCAACGAATCCATATGTATTGAGATGAATACATTGTAAAATCTCAGTTAATGTCAGTTGGTCTAAATCAGTTATAAATATATTTGGACACAACATGTATACTTGGTGTTATGTTCCTGTTCATATTTTTTGAACTTAAAAGTTGACAGACAACCTTTATTACCAATAATATGTAATGTACTTTACAATGTTCCTGACATATATTTCAGCTTCCTGGATTTTTTTTTCATCTGGCCTTCAGATATGAAAGGCAGAGTGATTTAACACCTGTTTAGATTTGTCATCCATGTGACGAAATGAAAAGTATGCCGTTTGCAATAAACTTTGCATAAAATAGTTAATTTGCATTTAATTTTAATGGTTCAAAGAATGTCAGGCAAAATGGTCGGCCCTCACGCATGTTCACTTCATCAAATCTGGCCCTCTTTGAAAAAAGTTTGGGCACCCCTGTCCTATCTTGATTTAAAAATTGCCAGTGTTGAAGAATCCATCCCAATTCTTGATAAGCTGGTGCAATATTTAATTACCCACATTGTTTATGTATTAAATTCAAACTGGAAACAAGATGTAACTTTGTTATGCCTCTTTGTCTGCTAAGTTTGAAAAACCCATTATCAAATATTTGTTCCCCTTTTACACTGTAAGTCAGTGTTTCTTAAACTATGTTCCGAGGTACACTGATGTGCCACAAGGCAGTTGGAGGTGTGCCATGGAGAAGAGTTCAAAATGGCCACCCTTAAAGGGGGCAGGTAATTTTTTTTGTCTCAAAAAAATCCTTTTCCTCAAAAAAAAAAAGTTTGGTGTTCCTCAATCTTAAAAAGTTTAAGAAACATTGCTGTAAGTCAAGTCTTAAGTAGCTTTGCATAGAAAATTTTGAGTATCACTATAAAAGATTGGAAATGTACCCTACTCATTCTTGTGGCTCCTCTGAATCCCCTCCATTTTTTCAATTTCCTTGTTAAATTGTTGTCACCAAAACTGGGCATACTCCAGTGATGGTGGTACTAATGCCAAATACAGTGATCACATACCTACTTGAAAGCTCATCACTTAAACAACAACAAGATGGTTTAAGTGCTACATGACTGATTTTTCTATTAGACTTGAGCTTGGCATTCAAGGATTGTATTAGCTCTTAAAAGCTATGGCATTACACCAGAAACATGTTCTGCTGATTATCCACAACCTGCAGATTTTCCCAATGTCACTGCTTCCCTGCATAGATCCCCATCTTGTAAACATGGCTGCACATTAGTCATGTTAAAATAATTTCCTCCATACTGTTTATTATAATCCATGGCCTGGAGTCAAGAACCCATGGCTTTGGGACCTTATTAGAAAGGCACCTAAATGATTTATGGTTCCTAGTTACAATCACATTATAAAATCTGTCAGTTTAATCCATTGAGTAATGCATGGTTGATCCATCTAGTGCCTTAAATATTGCCTGGTACTAGATCCAAATACCTTGCTGAAGTCTTTTGTTAGTGGTGGGGAAACTTTTTTAGGGTTTGTGGCCACTAACCCACAGAAAAAAAAAAATCAATCAGGCTGCACACAAGGGGGAAGAAATTAAACCCCCCCACACTGCCATGGCCCCAGTATGGGTTCCCCCGTGCTGAGGGGCACACAGCTCTGGGCCTCAGGAACCAAATCCAGACAAGCTGGGGGCCATAGCCTACCCCTGAGCCTGAGGTTTTCCACCTCTTTTCTATGTTGACCAACCTTGTAACTTACAATTAAGGTACCACTGTTTTACGGAAAAAATATTGTTAAGCAGAGGGGTTTTTTTATTACTTTCTTGGAAATCATGAATAGATTCACATATCAAGTGCTCCCAATATTTTGCTCTGAAACAAGGTCAGGCTAACAAGGTTTTATGCAGGTGGACCTTTTTATCCTTTTAAAATGTTGGCAACATTAACTTGAAATGTATCATGAAATAGGGGAGATTGTACTAGCAGCTCTGAGAATTGGAATTGCAGGAGAATGGAAGAAAGCTAAAGTAATTCTAATAAGCACTTTAGACTTGTTTAAATGTGAAAGCTTGTCAATAGGGTGGGTCTTCTTCCCATACTTCCACCACCTTCTGCATCAGCTAGCTAAAAGTTCATTAACATCCAGTCCAAGTCTTGTTTTTAATCAAAAACTGAAGAAAGGCTCTAGCTAGGCACCATCTGGGTTGTGTCTATTTCAATACTATACATTCTTCTTGCCTTTGCTCGCTAAAGATGCCACCAGAAGCAACTGTTGTACTCACACTTGTAAAAAAAAACTTGTCATAAGCATGTTACAAGATCGTTAACTACAATAGCACACAGCATAAGAGCTTTTAAGCACATCCATTCCTAGGTTTAAAGGCAGCGGATTATACAGAGAATACTCACTGATGGACAAATTTGGCCTGGCCTTTGTGCAACAACTGACCTCTTGCTCCCTAAAGAGCAGATAGCCAATGAAGATGGTAAAGGAGAAACAGTTACAGGCATTACCAGCATGTGTCTCTCCCTCCTCCCACCCCCAGCACTATTTAAATAGACAGCACTGTTTCTAGCTGTGTGTTTATGTGGCCAGAATAGTTATTCCTCTGCAGTAGCCTACTGAGGGGGAGGTTATAAAGCAGTAAATGCTGTCTGTCCCGGGATCTCTTCACTACCTCCTTCAAAAAAACCAATCATGTGCCTTTAAGCATTTACTTCTTCCAAAATATTGGTACTAAAACTAATGTTTTTTCATATTAGATTGTATTTGGTCCTGAATGAGAACCAGAGTTAAAGTCCTTTAGTTAAAGCCTGCAGCAAAAAGAGCAACCACCCAATCTTTTGAGCTCTGGTTTAAAAGGAGCTGCAGAAACATGCATTTTTCTCTTAAAGAAAAAAAGAACTGTATAATTATGTTAGCTACCTCTATAAGCCAACTACTCTTTCAAGGTTCATATGTAATTTAGACATGCCTTTAGCCCATGCACAGAAAACTGAATACTTTAAATTAGTGAAAAGAACACAATCGTAGAACTCCCCCTCATCCCAAGAACAGCTTAAGTTCCTCAGAAACAGAAGATAGGCTATTTTTACACTGCATCTAATTTATCCTATGATCAGAGCAACCTTCTTCACCTAGAAGTATTGCATTATTGGGAGTGAAAGGCTGGAGGAAAGCAAATCATCAGTTTCACACCTCTGGCAAGGGCAATAGTTATACATATATCTCTGACCCTTCCTTTGCTGAAGATTTCCCAAGATCATTGGTGTAACTTACACAGCCTAGAGTGATGGTAGATATCTGTTAATGATATTGGAGAAAGCTGTAAAGACCACAAATAATGTTACAAGGCTTTTTTATTTAGAGACTGTACAAACAGGGCACTAACAACACTGGCTTGATGTTGGGACCATATTATGAAATAAGTGGAGTAAGAAAATAAAAGGCACTAGTCTTAAAAAGAGACACTCCATGTAGTCTAAGAATATAATTCATTTAATACTGTTAATTTTATAGCACAAAAATAAAACAAGCTATGATCCCCGAAATAAACTTTAAAAGCTTACTTATTGCCTGAAGTTCATGGTCTTTAAATTACATACTGTTTTAATGTTTACACAGTGAAGACTGTCTCAAATAGAAGGCCACCTCTTCTGCTGCAAAAAATGTATTTTTTCCCCAGAACACATTTTCTTTTAAAATACAAGTAAACAGAAAATGACAATGATACAAGAACACTCCTACTGGTCCCAAAAGGCCATCTTTTTAGGCAGTTCTCACTTTTTCAGTTGCAGATAGAGATGATTCAAAACTTTGCTACAGACAAAAAGCCCATTCATTTCCAGGATGTTAATATAAAAAATTAGATTATAGGCACATGAAATGGCACAAAGAATGCATTTTTTCCCTTTACAAAAATATGTTCAGAGCCCCAACCCAAACAGAATATATTCCCTTTATTTATTCCTGCCTGATTTGTAAACAATCTTGAATTGAGCTAGTGCTTATCCAGTGATGCGGACACAGATTAGAAGAGTTTTCATTTTAACTTTTCATACTGGTCGGAGGCTTAAATGTATATACATGTACATAACAGGAGAAGTCAAGCAGTAAACCTCTCATGATTAATTGTTTTAACAACTGAAACAAATGCTAATTTGAACCCAGACATCTACCTAAAAATTAAATGTGAAACATGATCGACTTAATGGTGCATAGGTTGAAATCATCACTTGATAAAACATTATGCCTCATTTTAACGTGATGCCTATATTTTATAGTCACAAGGGATAGCAACACTGACAGTTATCTATCATCCAGGAATTTCTGAAGAGGTTCTATAAAGCAACAGACGGCACTACAAGCAGCAAGTGATCTCAAGAAACCAATCTTTGAAGGAGAAACACAAACTGATCAAATGCAGTGTCTATATGAAAATACTTATCTCTTAATAAAATTGACATTTTGATGCAAGTTTACAATCAACTTCAGGAGGCATTTACTGCTATACAGAGGGAGCCATTTAAGTGGTCCCAGACTAGGTTCATACTTACTAGATATTCTTCTCTGCATTAGAAACCACCATTTAATGATGTGCTTTCTTATGCTGACCCTGGCTGAGATTTTTGCTGACAGATGGTTTGCTTTTTAGTTTAACTCAGAACACTGCTTATAGTGTTCCAGGTACACAGTATAGCCAGCGAAGGACAGCTTTAAAGGAAATGCTTATTTTTAATAAAAATGAACATGAATTTTCCAAGGCATATATTTATAGATTTTTAAAAGAAAATGAAAAACCCTACACTGATGAGAACTAGATTAGGGCCAAAATAAGAGATCCTTATGGTAGACTTGAGTTTAGTGCAGTTAAAGAACAAGATAACTTTCAGTAGTATGAGCTTCATAATAATTTAAGGTAGGGTCAGAACACAAACATTAACAGGGACACCTACTTTCTAAAGCTGCAGAACTGTTGCCATTGAAAAGGCAATTACTGCCCACAGCCAGCCATACCTCCAGCACCACACACTTTTAGTCAATGTTATTCTATTTCACAGTAAGTTTGGCAGTAAAATAGTTTAAGTAGAGTTTAAGCCATTTGATCAGCACTACATAATATTTAATAGGTTAACTGAGATGCTTTTCTAAAAGTGAACAATGGCTGAACTTTTTTGCATTCTTCAGTGCCTTCTCTGCAAGAACCTCAAGGCACTTCAATATACAGTTCAGAGCAACATGTGCTCCGGGCTTGACAGTCCAACATCCTTAAAAGAATACATGTTCCAACATAGGATGAAAAAACACTTTTGTTTAATGTTTCAAGTAAATTCCTCTAAATGCTGAAATGAAAGCTTGGATTTCTGCATCTTTTTCTATGTTTGAAGACAACCTTAAAAGGGTAAAAGTACATCCTGCTATTTAGAGCTGTCAGCTTCTGTAGGGAAGATACAAATGAAGTCCTCAGGAATATTAAAAATTTGTACACGTGTATTCTATTTATTTTAAAGATGTTTCAATTCACCTTGAGAGGCAAGCAAAAGGGGTCACAAAGGTGGACTCATCACACAATTTGTTCTGTTTAACTATATTTAAACTTTTAAAGTGGTATGACTCACAGGTGTGGATGCTATTATACTGATATAATTTATACAAAGGAGTAAGTAATGCCAGTATAAAGGCACCTTTCTCTGTATCCCTTCCCCCTGCCCCAATTGGGGTGTACTAGTATCGCTATTTTAAAAACCCTATATCCCCTCCTTAAGAACTAAACCAGTACAAAAGTCTGTGAGTAGACCAGGCTTAAGTGTTTCCCTTTTAAAGCTCGTTTTCTGTAGTTCTAGTGCTTGCAAATCATCCAGCAACTTTTCATCTCTGCACTCATCTATAGAAATGGTTTCATGTATATGACAAAATAGGCTATTGTTTACAATGTGAACTAAAGTTGCCATAAATTTTTCCATTTCAATGCGGTTTTCAATCGGTATTTGCTTTCGTCACACAAACTTTATTTCTAGGTCAACAGCAAGCTTAGAGTTGTATCACAGAACAGCCTTGTTAAAACAGCTGCTCAAAGTGTCCAATTTATTATCTATAAAAAGACTTCACTATACTATTTTAGGATTTCTCCAAATCTAGCTCTTCCCTCCCTTAGCTCCAAAACTGCAGGGGTATTTTGTTGCTCTTTGTACAACAAAGCAGAAGTTTTGTATTTGATTTGAGAGTTAGAAATCTCCTCCTAATGATTAATCCAGAACATACTGTCCTTGTAAGCCTCAGAGGAAAGGTTTTCTTGCTCCTATCTACTTTCTGCCTGTGCGGCTTCAGTCTTCTCCATCTTAAGGGCCAAAATAGTTTTAAAAGTGATACTACAGTCTGGATGATGCAACTATAGTATGGTCAGCACATGACTTCAGTTGCGTGCATTCCCAATGTGTATGAAAAGAACCACCAAACTGCAGCAAGCTAGAAAAAATGGACAGTGTGCCATTGACAGTCATCATTCCCACCTCAAAATGCTTATTGTAGCCAGAAAAATGAAGCAGCAGTGTAAGCTGGGCAACAGGAATCACTCGTTTTCATCTGGGTTTTGAGGGTCAATTATTTTGACATGCGTGAAAGGGAAGAGCCCTTTTCTGCCATTGACTTCGCCTTCCCACTGACCATTTATATTCATTCTTGTAACCTTCACGATGTCTCCAACCTGCATAGTAATAAAAAAGTGTTACCACAGTACAGGAGTTGCCAGCATAAAGATATACAACTGAAATGAGAAGAAAGAATACAACTTTAAAAAACAGAGAGAAAAACAGCTTTGTACTACTGCATCCCCTAAAGCAATTAAAATACATTTGATCATAAACTGAAGACCCCCCCCCCCCAAAACCAGAATTCTGAAATTCAGCCTTGTTTTAACTTCACAGACCAGGTTAAGGCTGAAACCTGTAATAGTGAGAATACTGCGTTCCTCTGAAAAATGGACAACACATTTCATTAATATTAATGTTAGTTTTAAAGAAGTTTCACTGCACATGTGTAAACTAAATATACCATTGCATAACTAAAGTAAAAACCTGCACTCTCCCACTAAGGAGAGAGGGGCATATTCCTGTATAATTCACTGAATTTGCCCCATTCATAGATTTTCAAAAAAAATAAAATAAAAATGATTCATTTAGCTGCAAGACTGAATGGGGTAATGTATTATACATGAATATGAAATGTTACAAAAACATATGGTTATGAGCAGGGCTTAATAAACGGCGGCAAAAGCCGCTTGCCAGCCCCACACTGTGCATGTGCAAGAGCCCATTGCGCATGCCGCCAGTAAACACGGCATGCAGCTGAAATCTACTCACCACGGGCGAGTAGATTCTATAGTTTGTCGAGCCCTGATTATGAGAGAACACTTTCTTTGAATTTACATCAGAATAAGCTACCGTTCTCTAAATCAATGTTACATTTCCTATTAAAGAGAAAAAAGCCTTATTAGCAAGGCTCGACAAATAATGTAATCTACTCGCCCATGGTGAGTAGATTGCAACCCGGAACAGCCAGTTTTGGGCGAAGGCCAGCACAGCTGGTGAGCGGGGCTCACCAAGGTTCGACAAGGTCTGCTTATTAGGGATGTCAGTGTAGTCGAATACCTGATTAACTGATAAGCCTGGGTTTATTGGTTAATCTTATTGACTACATGCACCCTGCCTTGGGCTATAAGGAGGACAGGCAAGAGCTGGTGCAAGGGGGAAGCTGCATGTCCACCCCCTTCCCCCCTTGCTGTGCTGTTGCAAGGCAGCAATGTGGGGGGGCGGCATGCAGGGGAAGGCTGCTGCCTCAATTAGA